GAGAGGAAGGGGGTGTGATGAGGTGATGAACAGGGTGGTGGGTATATGGGTGAGCTGGGGATGGGGACACATCAGGAGGCTGAAGCCACAGATGGAACTGGGGCTAAGTTTCATTATCCCTTTGCCCTTCACAGCCTCTACTTCCACAAAACGGCCCCTTATTTGGGGGCTTCGTAAGATAAGAAGACATCAAGGGGCCATTGCTCCCAGCAGGGGATGCTTAATCCTCTGTAATCTGGACAAATGGCAGAGGGGGGAGAAAGCTGCCTTATCATTTTGCTTATACAGCCTTCCTCTGATCCTAATCCCTAGAGTGGGGCTGATCTCACTCACATTTAGGATGTGAAAGGGACATGTTCCAACTGGCCCTCGGGTCTCGCCTAGCATCACCAGAAATAGGCAGCACCTTATCGGAAGCGCCTAACAAAAGATAGCCAGCCTTTTGGGTAGGTCTGTATCTCCCATCAGCTGCAGAACCAGCCAAATGCCATCGGAAATTGCATTTTGCATTTGAAAGAGCTACATGCAAACAAGGAGAGTCCCACCCCCAGGTCTGTCACCACCAACCCTCCACTGCAAAGGCTGAAAGCACATAAGCCCAAGGGGAGTAGTCTTCTCCCATCAGCAAAAGCAAGAATTTGCCTGTCTTCTACTGTTGTAGTGTCCCCTGCCACACCACTGCCTTTCCTACAATACAAAGTATGGAGGAGAAGGACAGAGAGATGGGCAGTAATGCAGGATAAAGTCACCTGGCTCATATCTCACTGAAATGCTAGCTCTGAGGGGGAGGTTCATTCCTGCCTCAAGCTCACCTGAGCCCATCAGCTGGTTATGTGAGGGAAGCAAGCCAAAGAGGATAAAGACAAGCTTGCTCATTAGTCAGCCCCAAATGCTGTGTAGCCATCTCTGATGGAGAACGGGCACTTAAGATGTTCCTGCACCACACCCCAAAACAGAGCCCCAGGTAGACCCTCTACATATTGTCTGTACCTCTCCTTATGCGCCTGGTCCCTCACCAGGGAGTTCCTTCCAAAAGGTACAACATATCTTTGTGCTGAGGGCTGGTTATTTATAGCCTCCTCCTCCTCTCAGTTCCTTTCCCACACCCAAAATGAAAGCATGAAGGATGACACAGATGAGTCTGGGTGAGTACAACTAGTTTCTCTCCTCCTCCACCTTGTCATTCGTTCATTCTTCTCCCCCAGTGAGAGACAGACTGGAAGGAGCTCCCCTCACAGCCCCAGTCATAACGAACCTCTCTCAATAAAGTAACCCTGTCACAAGCCTAAATATTAGGCTGAGCCCACAGAAAATGAAGCTCGATGGGCATCCTTCCAAAAAACACCCCTCCTATTTACAGTATCGTGTTCACTCGCAGCCACAGAGCAAGGGATGTGTGCCCAGTCATTTCTGATGCATCCAAGGGGCAGGCTGGTCCCCCTCTCCTGTCCTCACCAGTGGTTAACCCCCAGTAAGGTGGGGCAAACCATGGGGAAGACAAGCCATAGGGACAGTCACCAGCAGCACAAGTCTGCTGGTAGCAGCAGGTAGAAACCGTGCCCATACATAGTGGAGAACACTGCCCCATTTCCCTCTTGGGGCCTGCCCCTCTACGGTTTCTACCCCTTCCCTATCATTGTGGGGCTGCTGGAGAGGAGTTGCACTGGGAGGAGGGAAGGACAGAAAACCTCAGTGTCCACCAGCTGAGATGTTCACACAGCCACAGGCCAGACCTGTGTCCCATCCTCCTGAGTCCTAAGGGTGCTACGAGGAATAGGCTGGACACACAGCAGGGGCACCTATGGATTTTGGATCTGCTCCTGACCTCTGTTACTAGGACCAGTGTTGTGTCAAGCAGAGAGGCTGCCTGGGGGATGGAGCTCCTCACTGCTGCAAGGTAAACCCTGCTTCTTGTGCTCTGAGAGATGTCTCTGCCAAGGAGAATTGTCCAGGTAGCTATTGCTGAATTATTTCCCTTTACGGGAAATCTGGGAATCTGTCTTCACGCACAGACCTTTCTCCTGGAACACAGAGTGGGCTTCCACAGCTTCTTTACTTGAAGCAAAATTATGAAGAGTGTGCAATGATATCCATATGAGCTCTATCTAAGTCACTGCTGCCACCTAGGCGAGGATTTAAAGTCAGCCAGGATCTGAGATGCAAAAGAGCACTAAGGTACGGCCAAAGGTACAGAAAGACCAGTTTTTAGAGAGCTCAGTCTGGCCTCAACCAATTCTCTGCACACCAAGAGATCCTCCCCATCTGAGTAGGAGGCAAAGTGCAGCCTTGCAGGGCAGGACCCTTCCCTGCTCAGCTGCACCCCTGTGCAAGAGCCAGACATGTGCTGGCCATCCCAGCAGCAGGATTTCTTTCCAAGTGGAGTCCTGCTCCATTCCTGTGTGCTACAAAGATGGTATCAGCAAGAGGCTTTGCACTCTTGTAACAGAGGAACAGAGGAACATTCATAAGGATCTGAGGTGCAAAACTGTCTTTCTTCTCCTCCTCCTGCCCAGGGTGGAATGACAAAGCTCCCTGTTCCCCCTCGAACCAGCCCAGCTGGGGTCGAGGGCTCTCAGGGGCCCCTAGAAGCCCAACTCCTCCATCCTTCCCTCCCATGGGCACTGGGCCCAGGGACTGGGCATGGCTCCTCTCCTGCCTTATCAAACACTGGTCTGAGAAGAGCAGCAAGCAGGACATGTAGGCAAGGGGAACCACCTCCACTTTAATCCAAGGGGGCCAGGGAAGGAGTGACTCTCACGGCACTGCCCTTCTGCTCTGCTGAATATCTTGCTGTAACCTACAGATATCCCTGTGGGTTTTGATTGTACCTGCAAATCTTCCTCTTTCTCTTCCCATTTTCTCTCTTTGGGCTCCCCCTGCCTCAATACCACTTGTCCCCAAACCCTCTAAAAACAAAGCACTCCTCCCTCACTAGCATGTGGCAGAGA